CTCGCGGCCCCCCCCCAGCCCCTCCTGTTCCTCCTGCCATGCAGGGCAGCAGTCAGCAGTCAGCCCCACCCTGCCCGTGTGCTACAAGCCAGCGCTGGAGCCCATGTCTGCTGTTCCTCCGCCCCAGGGTAGCGCTCAGTCCCTTGCGTGTCGCCTCATCCCTGGGCTGTCGGCACACGCAGCACCCAACGACCCTGGAGGGACGGTACAGCCTGGGCTGGGCTAGGCTAGGAATTGGATCAGCACTGCAGTGCTCAGGGCTGGGAGCCCCCAGGGCAGACATCCACTCTCCACCCAGCCCCACCACAGGCCTCACGCTGGCGCCACTGCAGCCCCAGGGACGGGCTGGGTGGAAAGCTCTCGGGGGCCCAGGGCCTAGCTGGGACACTGAGAGGAGCAGCACTGGCTGCACCAGCTGTGGAGCAGAGACTCCTCCAAGGACGGACAGGGCCCGGGAAGGTCTCTTGCCGCTCACCTGTTTATTTCTGCTGCCCAGCGCAAACTGCCAGGTCGAGGGGAGGGGTGTCTGAAGGCAAAGGCTCGATTCCCCTGGGCTGAGGCAGCACCAAGGGGGCCCACGGGGCGTCTGAACTAGCACTGCAGAGTGTGCTCAACACCACGCCCCTTTCACCCATCCAAAGGCAGCAACCGCCCTATTCAACTGGGTGGGGAAACTGAGGCATGGAGCCGGGCAGCGACCCCCTGCTGTCAGCCGCAGCGCCAGATCTGAAGGCAAAGGCTCGATTCCCCTGGGCTGAGGCAGCACCAAGGGGGCCCACGGGGCGTCTGAACTAGCACTGCAGAGTGTGCTCAACACCACGCCCCTTTCACCCATCCAAAGGCAGCAACCGCCCTATTCAACTGGGTGGGGAAACTGAGGCATGGAGCCGGGCAGCGACCCCCTGCTGTCAGCCGCAGCGCCAGATGATGTGGCCCGGCTGCCCCGGGGGCTGCTGCAGCTCCTGCCTGTGCTGCACCTGGGCCAGGCTCTGCCCTGTGCTGGCTTCCAGTAACTGCAGCACAGAGAGGGGAAGCTGGGGGAGCGGGCCCAGCCATGGACATCCCGGGGGCTGGGCACTCCCAGCAGCCTGAGGCTCCGTGAGCCGCCTGAGCCCGGCCCAGCGAG